TATCAAAATGGAACTTCCAAAAAGTGTACCAGTTAATATTTATTTCTCTAATGTTCTTTGTCAATTTTTTTCCTCAGGAGGGTTTCACAAATGAAAATCATCCATCTCATTAGAAGGCTAAATTAGTAAGAGTAAGGGAAGGGTCAGAAGGGTCAGCCAGATAGCTCAGGTGATTAAAGCGCCTGCTTAGGCAGACACAGGGGCCAGGGGACAAGAGCCAGGGTTCAATCCCTAGGCCTGCGGTGCTGGCCCTGCCCCCAGGGCAGGCTGAGACTGGGCATGGTGGTGCAGGACTATAATCCTAATGTTTGGGAAAGCCGAAAAGCAGGGAAGATCACTCTAAGTCTGATCTGTGTAGTGAGACCCTGTACTAAAATATATTTTTTAAAAAATTAAGGAAATTTAAAAATAAGAGAAATTTAACCAGAGGTCCATGTTAGAAAAGAGTCAACAAAATTTTCATCAGCTCAGCTCATTTTGAATTACTTTAAATATTACATTTATAACTGTTACTGAATTTAAATCAATCACTCTCTCTCTCAACACAACAAAATACTACAATTTTAACAAATGAGGGGTATGCTGTAGTTGGTAATTAGCTGGTGTTATGCCTCACTCAAATCCATGTCACGATATTCCTCAGTTTTATTTAAAAGTACCCCAGTCAGTCACTTAAGTGATCAGCAACAGGCTAAAATTGGTTTTAAAACTTGAGAAGAACCAGGCCAAGGCATGACCTCAACAACCAGGCCCCAGATTCTCATCCCTGTATTCATCTGAGACCCTTCTAGTTATAATTAGCTTAGGAATCTTCCCTGGCTAGCTGCCATCTACCAAACAGCAATCGTCAAAAGAGCCACAGAAAGAATTCTAACAAATGGGTAAGCTGACAGGCCTCAAACACTTTTTAAGTGACACAGAAGTACTTAAATAGCTTTCCCTGAAATGTAACAAAGTGCCTCAATGCAAAAATAAGGAACATTTTTATGTTCCATTTTATATAACTTACATAATACCATTTTTAAAAGTTTTAATGCTTCTAACATTACAGTATAAGTGTATAATATAGCTCTAGTTGGCTAAACAAACATGAGTCTCGGCCATTTATAAGTAAAGACATTCAGGGAGATAACTCAGGACTTTTTAAAAGCAAAATTCTAAATGGCACCCACTGACAGACATGACAAAACAAACAAAAAACCCCACAACTGATGACCTTTAGCACCTCCAAATGTGACAAGCTAGCAAAGAAATAGTGCTCACATTTATACAGAGTAATTGGAGGCCTTGTAACAATCCCTGGGGCACAGAAAACCAGAGCTGAAGAAGAAATTTCACAGGCAGGCAGAGGTGACCTGAGGGGGGAGTGGGGACTAAACTAAAAATTATGTTGTAAATCCAATAAAAAAGGGTCTTCCTAAGAGTAAGAGAAAGAACCTTAAGTTCTTTAGGAACAGACTTGTGAAGATGGCCAAAGTAACCTGAAACTTCTTGAGAACTCTCCTGCGTAACAAAATTAAGTATTTTTTATTACTTGAACATTTCCAATTCAGTTTATAGTCCAAGTGCTTGAGGCTGGAGATGCTCAGCTTTCCCATAAAACATATGGACTATTTTGAAAAAAGACATTCAAGCCAAGTGTAGCAACCCCATTTTCTATGACATTCAAAAGTACACTACATGTACACAACACATAGATGATATTGGATGTGCTGAACTTCAAGTGTTCAGCAGAAAATATACACCAGAAATTCTAATACAGTGCACTGTATATAGCAAGCACTTAAAAGTCTGTTGTTCACTGGGCTGAAACAAAACCCACAAACTTGCGTTCAACCCTCACACTGTCCAAACTCTACCCTTCCTTATTCTGCTTTACTTCGCACTTAAAACACAAAACAACGAAAAATCCCTGCCCAGTGCCCAGGCCAGAACAACAAACCTGAAATTGGAAAATAATGAACTACTATTTTTTTTTATGATATATGCTTATATTTCTGGTTAGCAATACTATCTGAAAGACTATCATGACTGTTTAGGAAAAAAATTACTGGCCACCTAAAATGTGCCTAACATACTAACATAATTAGTATGTTAAGAAACATTTCAGTTTCTTAATAGCTCTGAGGCACAAATGCTAGTATCTATTTTGTTCTCTAGAGCTGGGTATTAAACACAGTCCCTTCAGATTGTTAAGCACATGTTCTACTACTTCCCATCGCCTAGTTTTTATACAGGTACAAATATGTTCAGAAAAGTTGTACATCACCTGTTAGTTACAAGACTCAGACCTAAATCTCTGCAAGAGGTCTTCCATCTTTCTCAACATTTATACAATCTAAGAGGACTTATGAAACTACAGCTAAAAATGCAGGCTAATCTGCTGTTTCAGAGCACTAAAAATTTACAATGTATTTCCTCAAGGATATACTATCTTTGTCCACTGAGAATGACAGCCCATTTGAAGAAACAAGCCTTGCCTACTGTTTTTAATACATAAAGCAACAAAGGTGTCATAAAGGACCTGGATTTCAGTATGTGAATTTCAGGGCTTCTTACTAGTTGTGAACTTTGGACAAGACACTAAACTTTTATTTTATTTTATTTTATTTTATTTTTATTTTATTTTATTTTGAGATAAGAGTCTCTCTAAATTGCCCAGGCTAGGCTCAAATTTGTGATCCTCCTGCTTCAACAACTTAGAGTGCTAGGATTACTGTGTGTGACACCACACCCAGTTCTAACTTCTTTTCAGTCATGATAAAAATTTACTTCTAGGATTCTTAAGAAGCTTACATGAGGCAATGTATGAAAATTGGAGCCGAACATTTATTAACCCTTTCCTCTATGAAGTAATATGAGTTACTTACTAACAAGTAGAAATACAAGTAAATTCTACAAGGAAAAAGAAAATTAAAGAATTTAATGTGTTTTAAAAAATTAAAAAGTCATTACACTTCAAAACTGATACACAGACAACTGCAACATTAACCAAAAAGGTTTGTAATTTATAACAGCAGAGTTACCTATAGTGAGCTAATATTTGAGTATAAAACTTGAAACAATGATAAACAGTCACACAATCACATACAACAATATCTTTGGGAGAGTGTTTGCTCAAAATTCCCAACTTATTTTCTTTTAATTTTTAAAATTTATTTTTTTATTTTTCTCTCGCTACACAGTTCAGACTCCTAATGTCCTCCTGTCTCAGCCTCCCCAGCGCTGGGATTACAGGTGTGTGCCACCACGCTCGGTTTCAGTGGTCTGCAATGTGCATCCAGGGTTCCCAGGCCAACACGGTATGCAGTACCAGTGATGGAACCCAGTTCCTTGTGCTTGCCACCGCCGAGCTATCTCCTCAGCCCCAAAACTCCCAATTTAAAAGGAAAACTACAATTTAAAGTCAAAGTAGATGAATACTAAAGGTAATGTATCTTGGGCTGAATCATGGGAACTATAATCTGAAGTTTATAGTTATTAGAAATGCACCTGTGTTAATTTTCTTAGTTTTGGCAAAGTGCAACTCTTCTATAAATGCAGTATTCCAAAACCTAGCTTTAAAAAAAGTGTATGGCAAAGTAATGACAGATATGCACCGCCACTCTGTATGCTACCTGATTTAGAATCTCTTGAGGACAGCCTTAAGAGTAAAACTTGTTAATGTGAACCAACACTGCAAACCACTTTAAAACATAATACATGTAATACCTTGAGTATAATAATCCTAACTTTGGAAGAGAAGTGACCTGTCTAGTATTCCCTATCAAATTATTGTAAGCACATTCAGGCTTTAATACTGAACATAGTTGTGATTACAAAACAAGTTTCTAACATATCTCTGTTTTTCTAATCTTGAATAAGACATTTAATCAGAATTTAAGCAAGTATCTTTTAGTACATATAAAGTATAACATGAATTTGAAAGTCTAATGACAAATGACATTTCTGAGCTTAATGCTAATGGCAGGCATAAGGGTCTCATCTATTTCTTTAATAATGCAGGCTGTCAGATTCTCTTAAGCTATTATTCAAAACTTAGAGAAAGTTTTGGATAAAGTGATGAGAATTCCCTAGGGCAGTTTTATCCATTACTAACACAACTTTTTAAAGCACATCTACATTTTTTGAAAATCACATTCAGTAACTGTGAACTTTACTGTGTGTTGAGCAAGATGGCTGAAGCTTTCACAAGCTGGGGTCTGCAAGGAAAGAGTTTATTTGCACATCAGAAGGCAAATCCTACAAACTGCTACAAACTGATCCAGAGGTTTAGGACAACACCGATTTAAATCGGTATACCACACACACACACACACACACACACACACTCCCATACACAAAAGCAATGTTACTGCTTAGCTCAGGTGATAGGCATTCTCTAACGTTTTTTTAGTACATATATGGAATTAAACCACAATTTTCAAATTTGAAATTTTAACATTCATTTTTCAAAGGAAAAAATAAACAGCAATGCAGCAAAGTCATTTCTTCAGATGAAATGACCTCCAACTTGAAAGGACTACTCCCCATTTCGCAATACATGAATCTCGGGCTCAAACCACGTACACACTAAACTGAAACGAACACTAAAGCTTCCTCAACAGTCCTGGCAAACCCACCTACCCCTCCCCCAGCCATCCCCGTTCCCTTTCCCGTCCACGCGCCACTCAGAAGTACCTTGACTCGAAAAGAGAATAAGGTTTAATCAGCAGCCAAAATCCGGTTTTAATGACTATCCGGTGAGCCGGAGTACTATTAACCTGAGTTTAGGGAGGCACATGAACCCAGCCAGGGCACAGGAGCCTATATTATACTTACCGGAAACGCCAATCCAGCAAGCATTTCAAGGCAGCTCAGATGTCAATTTAAGGAAAAAGATTTCGTAAATGGTATCTCAAATGAACAACTCCACTTGCAAACCACCCACCCAACCTCTCGACTGCTAGTACCCAAGTTCGGCTTAAGACACCCAAGAAATAAAGAGAAATATGTCTTACCTTGTACAAATCTCGACATGTTAAGTGTTTTACTAAATTACTCTAGGATTTTTTTTCCCAATTTCTAGAGGAGTGACGCTATAGGGCAGATCTTTCTTGATTTTAAACACGCGATATGTTCTTTCTCTTCCTCCGCTTACACTAAAGAGATTATTCAAAGTCTTTAAAACTTTTTTTTTTTTTTTAAGACTCCTATGAAAAGCTCCTGCAGTTCAAAAAGACAGAAACTTGGAGCGACCGAGCCTGCCTGAGGACTCCCGGCTACACTGCGGTCCTGACACAACTGTGGAGCAGCTGGAGACTCCCGAAGAGGTAAAACCACACGAACTTAAATTTCATCAATGAAAGAGGCGGACCCACAGCGGCGGTTTCGCCGCCCCCTGGCCTCCACGCCCTCTGGGCAAGACTGCAGCGCCGGCCGCACCCCCGCCCGCCCCCTCCCCAGGCCGCCGTCCAGCCTCTGCCTCGTTCCCGGGAAACCTCCGCCAACTGCGGCTCCCGCCCAAGCAGGGGTCAGGGGGCGACCGAAGCCGGCGGCGGGGGCAAATGTAACCGTTTTGGGAGGCCCATAAATATCCCGGGACGAGGAGGCGCTACGCCGCGCCAACACGCTGGCCGGGGCCGCTCCACACTGACCCGAGCGGCGACGACCCGCCGCGGCTTTTCCCCGGAAGCCCACCGACGGCGACGTTGCCCCCCCACACACACGCGGACCCCGGCGGCTCGGGCTGAGGGGTGAAGCCTCGCACCCTCGAGGACTCCCTGCCTCGGGTCCGGTTCTTCTCACGCATATGCTTGTCTCTACAGCCCTGCGCGTTTTTTTCAAGTCCCAAATTCGGCCTTTGGGGCCTCAGCGGGTGAAAGAGAGAAACAAACACGACCCCGCCCCTCCGCGAGACGCCAGCGCGACCCACCTTCGTCTCTTCTTTTAGCAGCTGAGAAACTGGGGGTGTCTATGGCGCCCCAGAAAAAAGGCTCTCAAGCTGAAAGAATGCCACCTCTGAGGCACTTTTCTCTCCCCCTCTTCCCCACACACAGGCACACCTGGAACCTGTCGCCAGCAATCGCAGCCAAGCTACTGCCCCCCTCTCTTCCCACTAGTCAGCCGGCTCCCTACACCAGAGCCCCCACTTTCTCTCAAACACCTCCCCTCCCCCTTCATTCAGAGCAGCCCCCTCAATGCGGAAACGTCCGTACTGAGCAGACCGATAGGCGCTGTGGCCAATCAGAAGCTGCGATTAACGCAGAGTCTGACCAATGAGACCTGCGGAGGTGGCAGAGGGTGGGGCGCTTGCGGCACGAGGGAGCCCTGCGCAGCCAGGCGCGGCGAGAGACGCAGGAATCCCGCGCGTGGGAGCAGCGCCTGCCCTAGCTGCGGCGGCGACAGCGCTAGCTCCGCGAGGCTTGTCGCCTCGGGAGCGCCCCCAGACATCTCTGCAAAGGACAGAACCTTAGTCCCAGTGTTTTGTTTTGCAGTCCTTAAAAATGTGCCTCGCATTCCAGGGACTGAAGAAATCTCAGTGGATAGAGCTGGAGAGGGCCCAGGCCCTTCTCGGTCCTGGTTTGAGGGGGTTGAGTAAATGTGCTGCAGTAAGCAATGGGATGTGTGTGGCCTACTAACGAGGAGGGATTTAGGACGTCAAAGAGGGAATCCCAAATGAAGCCTCCCTCAGAACCACCGCTGCCCCCCATTCTCATTTAGATGTTTACATTTCTGATCTGTGAAAAATGGCTTCTTGCATCGCTTCCTCAAAGAAGCTTTCCTTTTCATAGATTGTTAAAGTCCTTAAAGAAACAACTGTTAAAGGGTGGAATGTTGACAGTCTGGAGAGTGCGACGTCACGCCTTTTATTGCCAACCCCACCTTACATGATCCCTTTGAGTGGTGTATCTCAGATTTAATATTTACATTTCGTGATGCAAATAACTAGCGTCAAGATGGATGTAATAGCATGCTCTCGTAAGTGCCTCCAATAAATACTTCCAGAAGAGATCTAGACTTCGAACAACATTCTACCAAGGAAAGTGACAATTTTTAAATGACTCATTCTCTAAACAAATGAGCTTTTAATTTTTTTAGTTCCACATATACATAAGGAAATGTCATTAACACAGAAAAAGCCAGTGATCCCTTGTCATGTTAGAGAATGACCATCACTGATACTTTATGTAGTGTCTAAAAAGATAACACTTCAAATTTCATAGCTATAAAACTATTTTCCTAAAGTATTTAAAATCCAGAGGTGTATAGTTATCAGCATTTGGAGGCTGGCAATGTTGCTCAGAATCTCTACATGTTTGTGAACAGTAAAGAAATTGTTCCAGCACTGAATGAGCTGTACTTATGAATCAGCATGAACATCAAAATAAAACACCACTAAAATTTTGGGCCCAGGAGAGTTAACTTAGCCTGAAAAGAGGGGGTGATGGAAGCAACAAAGAGACTTTAATTAAATAGGTTTGTTATAAAATAGAGCGATTGGTTGTTTTCTATCTTGACAGAAGATTAAGGAAAGGAAGAAAAGTTTAATTGCAGCAAAAACCTTCTGTAATTCCTAAGAATGAAAACTTGATTTATGAGTCATTAAATACTGAATTATAATACCAAAGAATGTTGTACACTTAACTGCCTCAATTCTCCAAAAAGTACCTACCCATCTTTAGTGATTAAGTCTGTAACCACTCGAAGGATGGTTCTTAGAGGCTTAGCCCTCTAGAGTCCATTTTCCCAATATTATTTTCAGAGTGTGTTGCAAATGGAATTTCTTTATACAGAGTCTTAAATTTAAATTCTGAACCCTCAAACATTTTATGGAAGAGCAACCTATTCCCCTCACAGCCACTAAGAGATATCTCACTTGACAGATCAGGAGGATAGTGAAGAAAGACAGGAGCTCTTAAGACTGGAGCCATAGCTTGCTTAGGTGGCAATTGCTTGTTTCTCTGTCTACATTTCCCTGAAAAATCTCAATATCTCTCTCCATCTCTAGTCATTTTTTTTTTCATGGTACACCACTTTGTAATATCCTTTCTGGGTGCATAAGGTTGATATTTTTATCAATCTCTGAAATCTGTAATAGATAGATTTACACATTGAACCTTTGCAGAAATTTAAGGTGAGGTTTGGTGGCTAGGTAGGAATGTGTGAGCAGGGATAGCATAGGAATAAGATGGATTGCATTCTAGAGGGGAGTCTTCATTCCTTCTTTCTACTTTGCCATAGAGATACAAGAAAATTCAGTTTGGTTTAACTAGTCCCATGTCCTGAGATGTATAATAACCTTGCCACATCTTTTCCTTTTTTCTAGGTAACAACTGTCCTTTTACAAGGAACCAGTGTCTGCTTCATTATTTTTCTTTTCTTTCTTTCTCTCTCTCTCTCTCTCTCTTTTTTTTTTTTTTTTTTTTTTTTTTTTTTTTTTTAATGGAGCCAGGGATGGAACTCAGGCCCTTGCCCTTGCCAGGCAAGCACTTATTCTACTGAGCTATCTCCCTGCCCCCCCCACCCCATTTTTTAGACTGTGTCTCACTACGCAGCTCAGGCTGGCCCTGAGCTCACTTTGTAGCCCAGGCTGGTCTTGAACTTGCCATGATCCTCCTGCCTCAGCCTCCTGAATGCTGGGATTACAGGCGTGCACCACCAAGCTTCATTCTTTCTAAGGATTCTTCTTGATGCTTCACTAGATTAAGTGCTTGACACTGTGTCTGCTATATATCAAGTACTCTCTAAGTATATATTGAATGACTACCTTAAGTTAGTAACCCTGAGTGTTTTTAATTCACAGTATTTGGTCTTACTTTCTGAGACCCATAAATAAGAAATTTATTTTATATTGAGGTAAACATTTTTAAATATGATCCAGGCCAAGTATAAGAGTAACAGCAGCAAATAAAGTACCCTGGTGAATGTATACTAACCTATGCTAACAGTTACCATGAATATTATCTAATAAGGAGTGATTCTGAAATTGCTAAAATATAAAATAAAGTGTATGGCCTCATTTTTTTCTTGTCTATTTTCCCCCATCATTTGTACTGAACAAAAAAAAATTTTTTTTTTTTCTGAGACAGGGTCTCTATGCATTTCAGTTGGCTTCAAACTCAGTAATCCTCCAGCCTCAGCCTTCTGAGTGCTGGGATTTCAGGCATATGCCACCACACCCAGCTTGTAGTCAAGAAAATGAAACAGTACAGTTTGAAGAAATATCATAGGTATAAGAATTTCTCAACTAAGCCCAGAATGTTTAGCCAAAATACCAGGCAACTGTTACGCACTGGACTGCTGCCCACACTCGATATTGGTTCCCATCTTTATCCATCTAAATCCTGGGCCACCCATATAAAAGAGGAAAAGGGGCTACTATTAATTAGCAGCATGAATTACTGACTAGATTTAACAATAGAACATTTTATTTAAAAGGTAACCAAACAGGGCTAACTGGAAAAAGATATCAAATTATATAGATGAGATGGATTGCTTCTGAATGAGTAGTCTAAAATGAATGTGGTTTCCAAATACTTGGGAGGAGAAAGACTTCCTTCTTTCCTGTTGCCAACATTCTGTTGTTAACAAATTGAGAAGTTTGCTGAAATAAGTTGTGAATTTAAATTGAGACATAGCCTTCCATTTGTTCACAGTATGACTTTTAAATTATATTTGAAAATTATATAACTTAATTTTTTTTTTTTTTTTTTTTTTTTTTTTTTTTTTTTTTTTTTTAGGGCAGGGTCTACAGAGTCTCACTGTGTAGATCAGACTCATAGTGATTCTCTTGTTTACAGCCTCCCAAGTGCTGAGATTACAGGCCTGTGCCATCACACCCAGTCTCAATCGCCATCTCAGCGTGCCCAGGGATGGGGCTGGCATGGCAGGCCCGGGGATCGAACTTCCGGTCCCTGTGTCTGCCTAAGCAGATGCTTTATGTAACTTTTATATGAGAACAATAGCAATTATTTGAAATAAGCAAAAATCCTTTAAAAAACAGTTGTCTAAAGAACTAATAAATCTTTCTTAATAATTTTAAATCTTTAGGCTCGCAAGAATACAGCTTAACCACAACATGTACTATCTTGTTCGTGTTTACCAATAATTTCCCTCTAGGTCCTTCATTAAGAGTTAATGAAGCCAGGTCCTTATCAAACCATCCATGTTTCTCCTATTCTTCATGTTCTCCAGAGGCAAGTACAAGAGCTGTTGATGTCCATGAAATTATTACATCTCAATCATGTGCCAAGCTGTATCTTCAGACACCCACGGAGCATAGAGGCAAAAGAGTCATTCCTTCCAGTGACTAGGCCAGGAAAAAGCATAAAGAAACATTTTACATGCTGTCAGCATTTTAAATAACCATGGATCGTTATA